TATATATATATATATATATATATATATTGTCAAACCAATATCTGTTTAGCTTATTCAGATGGCTATCAGCAGAGATATGCTATGGTGTTAGTTATCATAATTTTTTCTCTCACGGATTTCTAAATTCTTGAGTTATGCTAATAATGTTTCTGAATAATATTATATACGCTATATTAAATGTTCTTTATGCTTTTAATACCTTATAAATCCTCTACTTTTTTTTTTTTTAATTATTATGTAGTTTGAAGCCAAAATCTGCTTGGTCACATCTTTTCGCGACACCTGTTACATTGAAATCCTTCCGAAAGACATAACTCCTGCCAGAGGTACAATATATGAACTCTTACTGATCTTGATATAAATTTTCATACACATTATATCTATTTTTTATTTAATTCTTTATGTTATTTTCTCCCAACTTCGGTTATTGTTTCCGTACAACTTTTAGTGTTAAATGAGCATATTTTTTTAGTTAAATTCCACATGCATTAAACCTGAATGGATATATACATGTAAAAAATGTAGTTAACTTCGTACAAGAAATATAGCTCAAGTTGTCTTCATTCGCATTTATGCGACAAATGTTTGGTTTAATTCGTTCGTTTTGCAATTTTGTCGATTCTTGTTGCCTTCTCAAGAGTTGTGGCTGAGCTTCTGGAGTGAAGTTCACTATAATTCCCTTTATCAAGCTGGAGGTAACAATTTTCACTTTGACAGTACCATTTATTAAATAATTTTTTTTTATATATATGTGTATGTATGTATATATCAATTTAAGATATATATTGATTACATTATGAAGGCTAATATTTTGTCCAATATTTGCCAGAGGTTCCTATAAGAACACAGAGGAAGAAGCATTGGCTTTTCTGAAGTTTGTGGTCTTGAAGATACAAAATAGATTTATTGCATATTATATATATACATTTTTTTTTTTTTTTAAAATAAAACTTGTACCTTGTACCTTTACACACTCAGATTATATGTCTGTGCACTGGTGAGATATGTAATGTAGATTATAGACTATTTATAAATTATATTTGTGTTTTGTCACATTTTTTTTGTGGTTATTATGTTATATTAGAAAATTTATTATATTAATTCTATGTATACAAAGGCATATTTTGTAGTGAATGCTATTTGCAAAAAAAAAAAAATAAAAAAAATGTCCAAATTGCACATGTCAATAAAGTGTAAAAAAGGCCTTCAAATTAATTGGTGAACAACTTATATGGTGGTCCTTTCATTTATTATAGTAGATAGAAGTTTTATGTGATGTGAAGCAAGAGTTCAGAGGAGTTTCAAATGAGTTTAAGTTTAGACTAAAGCTTAGCCTAGACAACTTCACATATTTAAGCAAATTTCAATGGATTGTTACTCATTTTCATCAACATTTGTCAAATTTTGATCTTTATATAGTTTTTGTTGCTATTACAGAAAAACAAGAAATCAGCAGAAGCGTAGTTCAACAAGCATTTGTAACAATCCATTACCAAACCAATCTCAAGCTTACTAAACAAACTTGAACAAAAAAAAACGGCATTTTTATTCTCAAAAGTCTCGCTAGAATCTTGCAACGACCATAACCGATCCTCTGATCATTCGACTGCAGAAAATACATTTTATCCTGCAGTTTCACCGAGCAATCGGAAAAGCGAAGCAACAATCGTGGCCCGGAGGGCCACCACCTAATAAAAAAATATCCCGATTTTTCTTTACTTACATACGGGAGATCAATAGCGGGACCGAGACCTCCTCGCCCATGACAGGCTGGAAAAGGTCCAACTCACCATAACGCTCCAAAACGCGCATCCTGCAGTCCTCAGCAGCCATGAGGCCCGTCGAGTAGGCTCCGTGGACCGAACCCGGGTAATCGAAACTCGTGGCCTCGCCAGCGAAGAACAGGTTATCGACAGGGATTCTCAGCCTCTCGAAAAGGTCGTGGGATTTGCCGACAATGTCATAGCTGTATGAGCCCAACGAGTTCTTGTCCACGCCCCAATGAGAGACAAGGTGTTGGATCTGCACGGTTCGTGACATTGAATCATTAGAGCTATGTTTGGTATCTGACTGATAAGTAATTTTCGAGCTTACAACTTATAGCTTATGACTTATATAGCTGAAAAGCTAGCTTATATGATAAAAGTGTTACGTAAAATTAGCTGACAAGCTAGCTTAAATAAAAATTTCAACGGGTTTATTTGAAAAGCTGCCCATGGAAGCTTATGCAATAAACTTGAGTTTTTTTTAAAAAAGTTTATCCTACTACCAAACAAAGCTTATTATTTGAACAGAGGAAGCTTATAAGCTCACCAAATAAGCTATAAGCTAAGCTTATTTGGCTACCAAACATAGAGGTAGCCTAGCTCGAATTAGAGCAATAATGCAAAATGTTTACATTTGATCGAAAGAGAGAGAGAGAGAGAGAGAGAGAGAGAGAGAGAGAGAGAGAGAGAGAGAGAGAGAGAGAACTCAAGAGATTTTACCGGTTCGGAAGCATTTGGAAGGATTCTCTTAAGTTGTGCGAAAGCAAAATTCGCGGCGGTCTCATCCGACATCTTCTCAATGTCACGGGCTAATTTTCCGGCCGGCATATAAACGAGGACCGGATGACCCGTGGCTTTGTGCAGATTAAGGAAATAACTGCATCTGTGAGAAGTCTCAGCAACTACTCCCAGAAACTCGACGTTCGGCCAAAAGACATTATCAAAGTGTAAGACAATCTTATTCTCAATCCCAACACCGAGGTCCTTAATCGCCTCCTCTTTCCACTCGGGTAACCTCGGCTCGAATTTGACTCGATTTGATTTTAGTACGCCAAGGGGAATAGTGATTACAGCTGCATCTGCTACAAATGTTGTACTGTTTTCTACAGTTACTTTTACTCCATTATGGCGTCGATCTATTTTAGTGACACTAAAATTAAACACGAAAAGGAAAAAGATTGAAAAAAAAAAAAAGATGTGAGATATGAGATGAATTGTATATTAATCGAGAGGGTATATTTGTGTTGTTTTATTTTACCTGTGGCCTAGACGGATGTTCAGGCCTTTTGCAAGTGTATTGATTACTGGAAGATATCCGCGTACCATGAGCCCATGCCCACCGGGAAGCAACTCTTCCTGTTTTACATAATGCAGAAAAAGTGAAAATTTATTAATTGAGCAAATCAAAGTCCTAAACTTTAAAAAGTATAACAGTTTATTTTTTTCAATCAAAAGATGGATAACTAACCTGGTCCCAGCTTTTAAGTGATATAGTCTCAGCATCTGCAGCGAACCAGCCTTCCATTCTGCATAGGTACCATTGCAAAACCTGATTGTCGAGCCCTTCCAACCTATACAACAAGGATGCAAAAAAACGCGTAAATATTCAGACAAGCATATGATATAAATCTTGAAGTCCAAAAAGAATTACACACAAAAATGGAACCTTAAATCTGGTCTCCTGTCAAAAACGATCGAGATTGCACGTTGTATAGACATGTCTTCACTGAACTCCTGCCTTATAAGATCCGTCTGCAAAAAAAAAAAAATATATATAGAATAATCAAATCAGAAAGCAGATGGAAAAGGAAATACAAGAAAACAAATTGACAACTGGGAAG